GACGCCCTCTCCCTTCTCCTACATGTTTCTATACTTTTCTAACATACCTCAATGACGGATATAGTAAGTTCCTCTCACTTCTTCCCTCATATATTCCATTTTCCTAAAACCTTTAACATGTGACAAAACTAACTCCAGGCCCACCATTTCTCTTACTTCACTCCCTCTGTGAAACTAGGAGATAGTGTTGACTGAATGTATTTACCTTCCTAGGTTTCTGGTTTTAAAGCTATTACGGTCTTTACATTAGGAAATCTTCAAAGGCCTCTATTATGGTAAGGCAGATGCTGTCCTACAGAATCATACTCAGCTCTGTTATGGTAAAGTATTCCGAGCTGTAAGTCTTTTTCCTTTTTCTTTTTGGTATTCCAGAACCTTCTCTTCTCTGGAGTAGCTTCAATGTAGTCTTGGGTGATCCCTCCTGTGATTCTTCAGCAATTGAATTTTTTTCCTTCTGGTTGCCTAATGTATTCTTTGACTTGGAAGCTTCAGTTCTTGGCTGAGATGTTTCTGGATGTTTTCAATCTGGGGTTTCTTTTGGGAGGTGATTAACGGATTCTCTACTTTCACTTTGTCCTCTAGATCTAACAGAATTGGACAGTTTCATGATTTTTTTTAAAATACAGTGCCTAGGGGTCTGGGGTTTTTTGTTTTTTTTTGGTCATGGTTTTTGGGGAGTCCAAGGTTTCTTAAATTTTGTCTCAACCTGTTTTCCAGGTCAGCTGCTTTAATAGTAGATACTTTACATTTTCTTTTGTTTTCAAAAATATTCTTACTTTGTTCTCATATTTCTTATTGCCTAATGGAAACATCTAGTTCCATTTGCTCCATGATGTTTTTCAAATTTTGGTAAAATTTTCCACATTCTGTTCTAAGCTATTTATTCCCCTTCCAATTTTTTCCCTTCAGCTCCTATATCATTTATAATTTCACCTTTAATCTCTTAGTTAATTTAACATAACTGGAGTCCTTGTGGCCAAGCAGTTTTGTTTTCTTTTTTCCCCCTCCATGGCTTTACTGGTACTTTTGGAGTTATTCTTTTCCAGGTTTACCTCATGGATTTCTCTTAACTCATAGTGTTTCTTCACTGTATTTGGCACTTACTTTTGTTTACTTTTCTATACAGGCTCAGTTTCTAAATTGGAACTTTGTGCTACGGCTCTTGGAGTGGACTGCCAGGGTGTTTCAGTAACTTTGGAAGGTCCTAGGTGAACATGTACTGCCTAACTCACCTCTCTCTCTCTCTCTGGAGGAGCTGGCTCTGTCACCTGCTGTTCCAACAGGCCAAAGATACCACCACGCTAGCTTTAGGCACCAGTTCACAGTATTGGCTTCTTGGCTCCACTCAAAGTACCCACAGAGTTCTGGAAGTTTTCTTGTGTAGTTCCGCCATTTCTCTCTGATTTTCTTTATCATTCTTTCTTCTGATGAATACTAAAAACTTTTCTGAAGTGTTTGTGGGAGAACGAGGTTCCTCTAGGACTTTTCTCATCACCAACTTACCAAGAAGTGTTCTCCAACTAGACTATAATCGTGGTGAGGACAGAAAGGTTTCTTACCACAGTACAACAGGATTTAAAATCTGAAGGAACTTTAGAGCTCAATTCCTCCCAATTTTCTCATTTGACAAATGAGAAAACTGAAGCCCAAAGAATCTGGACGATTTGCCCAACATCACACAATTAGTAAGTAGAACAAAAATTTAAACCTAGGTTTTTTGACTTCAAATAGAATTTTGGTTCCACTGCCAAGCTTAACACTGTCTACACCTCTACAGTTAAAGAGGACTGACTTTGCCTCTGAAGTCCCTGAGGTGTATGGCCCTACTTAAATGACCACTCAATATAGCTAAACTTTTTAAAATATACTAGACCTAGTACTAATACCATGCATTCAGCAAGTATTTAATAAATGATTACTGAATGGACTCTTGTATACTGACTCAAAGTCAGGTTCTGTCTAAAAGTTTAGTGCTCTTTTCACAAAGTCACAATAAAAGTCAACAACAGAAGAATGTCTGCAATAGTTTTTAAGAACTTGCAAATCTGAGAAGGGGTGGCAGAAGCAGGATAAATCAACAGTTAAGATGTTTGTTCTTTATTTTATTTAGGTGAAAACCAGGGTAAAAGAAATAATGAATGTTTCAAACACTACTTACTGTGTAATCCTGGGCAAATCACATAACATCTCTCACCTTAAAGCGCTTTATAAATGTCAATTTTTACTACTTTTTTATAGACAAACACTTTTCAAGGTGCTAGGTATGAAAAGATAATAAAAAATGTTGTTTCTATAGTTAAAGAGCTTACAGTCTAATAAAGCATTTCTCAAGCTTTTTGGTCTCAAGAATGCTTTCACACTCTTAAAATTATTGAAGACAACCCCAAAGACCTTTTGCTTATGTGGATTATCTGTAGATATTTATATTAAAAATGAAAACATCTTAGCATCATTATGAAAAGTTTTTTTTAAACCTCTCAGGGACCCCCAGAGATCCCTAGACCACATTTTGAGAATGATTAGTCTAAAAGCCAGCAAAAGAATGACTGTATTAAAAGAAATTTGAGGACAGAGTGAGTACAGTCATCAAGGGAATCAGAGAAAGTTTCATAACCTGAGCTCATCTTGAGTGAAGAGAAAGATCTTTTAACAGTAAAAGATGTGGAAATAACGTATAATACATATGGGGAATACTGTGCTAATGAACAGTGGTAGGAGAGGGCAGTGAGAGATCAAGGAGATCCCTGGGCTGTCCAGTTTGGCTAGAACAGAAAGCATGTGAAAGGTAGTAAGGCTGGAAAGAGAGCCTGGAGCCACGCTGTTGCAGGCTGCTGAAGACCTTGATTCCTTTTTGGGGTTCCCCTCCCCCAACAGATTATGCATTAAGGAAGATTATTTTGGCATTAGTGTGAAGGACAGACTGGAGATTAAGAGGCCAATTAGGAAGATGTTACATTACTCCAGAGGAGAGGTAAAGATGGCCTGAACCACAGTGGTTACTGTATGAACAGTGAGGAGGAGATGGATGTAAGAGATATCTGGGAGGCAGAATTCCCAGAAGCTGATATCTGATTGGATATGGTAGGTAAGAAAGAGTCAAAGATCATGCTGAAATTTCTAGTATGGAAAAATTAATAAGTTCTTTTTAATACATATGGCATCTTTTCACCTTGATTATACAAAGTATTATAGCTAATGATTTCCAAAACTACCAGTTCACATTCCCAAATGAGGCATCTAAAACATGGAGAAAAAAAAAAAGAAAAGAAAAAGAAAACAGAATGAGGTTTTTCTACCTTAACTAAAGGCTGGAAAAAAGTATTTGCACTGAATTATTAATAGTATTAAATTTCACATTAAGAGATTAACAAAGCTGTGTTACTACTGTCTGCTGGTGTAATCCTAGAAATAATCAACTTTTTAATAATGCCTCTGAATTCTGAGTTCTATAGCCCTTCTTGTAATTCCAATCCAATTCCAGAATCACACATGTTCAAGTGGTAGCAATAAGAGTAGAAGAAACCAGCTATTGTTCACTACCAATTCCAATACTGTAGAGCTTGTAGTATTTGTGGGTGGGAAGGGGGACTACGTTTACAAATAATTATCAAACAAAATGATGAGGTGTACAAACAAAAAACTACATAAGGTCCAAGGAAAGAAAGTTCAGGGAAGACTGCAAGAAAGACACAGAATCTGAACTGGCCTCAAAGCAGTAGGATAAAGATGCAGTAAAATGCAGTGGATAGCATGCTAAATCTGAGTCAGGATAACCTAAGTTTAAAATCCAATTCAGACATTTAGTAGCTATGTGAGCACAGGAAAGTCATTTGCCTTCTTTGGGTCTTTGTTTCTCATGTATAAAATGAAGGAATTGGACTCATTATCAATGACATCTAAGGTCCCTTCTGTCTCTAAATCTATGTCCTACAATCTATCACGTTCCATAAGCAAACAAAGGAGAGTATGTGGATTCTGTGAGAGGCTTACTAGGTCAAGGAAGGTATTAATTTAGGGTCAAGAAAATTAGAGAAAGGAACAGGGACTGGAAAGAAGATAGGGTACATGAGGACAGTTCTCTACAGGTTATTCTCCTAACTGGAATGAGCCAGACTACTCCCCATCTCAGTAAAAGAATCACACAATCACAGAATCATAAATTATTCAAACAAGCACAGATAAGCCACCTCTCAGTCTTCAGAGTATCTTTTTAAAAAGCACTTCCCTTATCCTACACACATATCCAGTGCCCTTTCCTAATGGGTGACCATGAGCTAATCCATTCACCTCTCGGAGGCCCTGTTTCTGACCAATATTCTACGATCTATGATGTGAGCTATATATTCTCATTTGTAATTTCCTATGCTAATGAAACCACAGATCTGGTCCAGAAAAATTCAATAATAACAATACTCAAACTACATACTGCATTCAATTTTTGTAAAAGTGTGAACTTTGTAAACTGTAAAGTATTATACAAATATAAACCAGAGAGGCATGGCCCAATAGAAAAAGCACTGTTTCTAAAGTCAAGGGGACTGAGATAGAAATCACCCCCTGCCCCCTAGCTGACTGCTGGTGTGCCCTCACCCATAAAAGTAAGGAGAGAACTGAGGATTCCTCATTTCTAGATCTATAGTTTTATGATTCCACACACATCCTAGATTATGGTTAAAAGTCTGGTTCAAAGAATTCTTTTGACTACAGAACCAATTGAGTATTTTATTTTTATATCTAGAGGCAATTTCTTGTGCTCATTATGCAATATACACATACACAAACACATACAAATCAACCCATTTTTTTCGGTCAAAAGCCTTTCTTTGCATCATAGCCTCGGTTGACTGTTAAGAATTTCCTTCACTTATGCAATAAGAAATGAGTTCACTCAATGAGTTCATCTTGATTGGGACCCATTAGTAAATACTAATGTAGGAAAAATCCAAATGAAAAGGAAGAAAGTAAAAGCAAAGGCAACAGAATGAGACAGATGTACTCACAGTCTGGGCAGCAGCCATTAAAAGCCATTCGACAAATACCACAATTTTCATCATTGGCAACCCAAAGCCAGGAGGCTACACCATTCCAACACTTAATCTTCACCTTCATGGTGAGTTTGTATCCTAGGAAGGAAAAAGGGGATTATCTTGTTGAATAGTTTGGAGAGGAAACCAAATGGGGTAGAAGTTAAAGGTGACAATCCATTCCATGATGAAGGACCTGGGTAAAAACAGTGACTAAGTGCATTGATTATGTCTTTGTTTTTGTTCCTCATCTTCGAGATTCATAATCAACATAAATCTAGGGGAACAAGGTACCTTTAAAGGGTAGGGGGCATAGCAATACAAAGGGAATGATCTTTTTGCCAAGAAATAGTTTTAGGGCTTACTAGAAATACAGTCATCTCTAGACATTTGTGGGTTTCACATTCCGGTTTTTGGTTATTCGAAGATTGGCCATGGATAATTAAATGGGAATTTTTGGAGATTTGCAGTGTACTTTGGAAAACTACAGATGACTTGTGTATGTAAAGAAAACAAAAAAAGTTAAGTCATAAATGCATAAATACTGTATCACAGTATTAATCTATTTTCTCATTTACTACCATAAGTATATGTACATGAATTTATTGCAAACAGTTAAATTTTGTTAAAAGTTTGCCTAGGCAATGCACTGTTTGGGACCACCTCCTCTTTGTCTACCATCCAGACTCAGTCACATGATTTTCTCCAGCAGTGATTTTTGTATTTTGCAATCTGTAGAAGGGAATCTGCGAAGCAGTTGCTGCAGCTACATGGCAGCTGCAAAGTGGGCAAGATACTACTCTCTCTCATGCAGCAACTGCGATTTTTTTAATAGGTGCAGTGTGTTGTTTTGTGTGTGAAATAAATATAATCTGAACTATTAAAAATAAAGATTTGGGGGTGGGGCCAAGTTATTCCTGGTTTTTTACATTCTCAGGGGTCTAGCACCCCTAATACTCAAAAATGTCAATAGATGACTATACCTTTATCTGCTTGAAGCCTGAAAAAACAAAGCCAAAGGCCTGCCTCAGAGGAGAAGATTCAACTTCCCTGCTCTTTCTTGCTAAGAAACATGCCAGATATTTCCAGTAAGAAGCTTTGAAAGACCAAACAGGACAAGTAGGGAACAGAAACTCCCTATCTATTTGATAGGGGTTTGATACTATGATCAACTAAGCTTTTCCTAAAGGCTTTTTTGAAAAGCACAAAAGTTATCAACTGTTTTTAACTTTCACTTTTAAAATATGCTATACTGGGGCAGCTAGGTGGTGAAGTGGAGAGAGAACCAACTCTGGCGTAAGGAGGACCTGAGTTCAAATCTAGTCTCAGACACATAATACTCACTAGCTGTGTGACTCTGGCCAAGTCATTTAACCCCAAATGCCTCACCAAAAAAAAAAAAAAAAAGCTATACAGAAGTCCTGGGAAGCTTTTACATATGTGTGTATGAATATGTGTATATACATACGTACACATGTGTCTATGTGTACAGACCAAAGAGATACACACATATGTATGTCTACATATATCTATAAACTTACAGATATATATAGTGAAGTAGATCATTACAAGGCATCAAAACAAAAAGGCTTAGGACAGAAGATGGAGGGAAAAAGATTGATCACCTTCTAAAAGTTTGTGTTCTATCTGTACTCACTACCTTCTTTTCCTCCTTCCTGTGAGATAAGGTTTGAGGAAAATTTGGTATACTAAAAGAATCAATGACAAAATAATAAAGTATCTCTTAGTAAATAAAAATAGAGTAATTGTTCCAAGTTTAATTCTCCCCTGAAAAACGATGTTTCCAAAATCCATTCCCGAGTATTCTAGATTACACCACTTCCTGGATGGGCCCAGAGTCAAAAGACCCAAATTCCCATTCAAACTCTGCAAAATATGTGACCCTTGTCTAGCATCTTCACTTCTCTGAGCTTAAGTTTCCTTGTCTTTAAAATGGGGGCAGCAACATTTGGACTACTTGCTTCAAAGGCTTGCTAGAGGAAGGTTTCCTGTAAACCTACAAAAAGGCTATATAAAAACAAGAACTCCTAACGAGAAAAGAAAAGTAAGATTTGAGCAGTCTTGTCTTAGGATGGGAACACAACCATCACCCTAGTAGAATAAAAGCCACCTGAAGGCAAGAGTGGTTCCATTGTGGTTTCTGTATTTCGAGAATCTAGCATCCAGCAGGTGCTTAATAAAAACTTCATTGAACCGAACTGAATACATGAAAAAACACTATGCAACCTAAAGAAATCGTTCCTCCGAGCAGGAGGCCTCTCCTGGGCAAGGGAGCAGGTGGGGAGGGGGTGGCACACCTTAGGCCCAAATCGGTTTCCTTCCCTTTCTGGAGTCGCACCTGTTTGCTCCCCCACACCTAAAATCACAGCCGGCTGACTTGTCCCCGCCCCCTCCCCAGAATTCCCACCGGGTTCAGGCCTCACACCCAAAGCAAGCCTGAGCGTCGGCCGGCGCCCCCTCACTCCCGCCAGCCTGAGCCGTCCAAGGGCCCTCCTCCAGCTCCCGTTGGAGCCCGAGCCCCTCCCCCTGGAGTTCCCGCCTCCACCGGGAATTCCCATCAGAACCTCAGCCCCTTCATCCTCGCACCCTCCCCTGAGTTCCCACCTCCTCGGGAGTTCCCACTCGAGTCCGCGCTCTCCGTACGGCCCACTTCCCGAATTCTCCACTCTCGAGCTCTCGCCCCCCAACAGGACTCGCGCCGAGCTCGCCCCTTCCCGGTCCCGCCGTTTCCCCCCGGGCCGGGGCCCCGTCCCGAGGTAGCAGCCCCTGCTAGTGTTCACCCCTGAGTTCGCGCCTGTCTCCCGGCTCGAGCCCTTCCGTTGGCGCCCTCGTGACGAGTACAAAAGGGCCCAGAGACCTCGGGAATAGCAATCTGCAGCCGCAGCAGAGAGCGAGGGAGGCTCTCACCCGGAGCGCATTCAGCCCGCCCGCGAACCCGCTCCCCCGCCCAGCCGCCGCCAGCCAGCGCCCAGCAGACTCCCAGCAGACTCCCGCCCCACGGCCCGGAAGCAGACCCAGGCTTCCCGGAAGCGCCCTTCAACCTTCGGCCGGGAAGGAAATGACGCGCCGACGTGCTGACGCGCGGGGTTCGTGCCGAGGCCCCGATTCCGCGCCCGCCATGGCCGACAAGATGGACATGTCCCTGGACGACATCATTAAACTCAACCGGAGCCAGCGGGGCGGACGCGGCGGGGGCCGGGGCCGAGGCCGGGCCGGGGCCCAGGGCGGCCGCGGCGGCGGGGGCGCGCAGGCGGCAGCCCGCGTGAGCCGAGGCGGGGGGCCCATCCGGAACAGGCCGGCCATGGCCCGCGGAGGCGCCGGGGGCGGCGGCAGGAACAGACCCGCGCCCTACAGCCGAGTGAGTGAGCGAGCCCGGGGAGGGGGGGAGGCCGGGCCGGGACCGAGCGGGCCGGCCGGGGAGCTTCGAGGCCTAGGGGGCTGAGCCCTGTGAGGCCGGGGCGGAGCAGGGGATAGGACGGTGCGGTGTGTGGGGGCGTGCGGGGTGCGGGGGACGGGGGGGCTGACCCACGACCGAAGGATCGCCGGCCCCCACACTCCACCCACCCCCCGAGGCCTTTTGTTTCTCGTGGGCCACAGAGGTCCAAGGCCTGGAGCCTCATGGCGACCGTGCCGGCGGGAACTGGGGCCTGCTTGGGGCGGCGGGAACGTGGGGGCGGGAAGGAGACCGCCTCCGCCTGTTGCCAGGGCCGGCGGGAGCGGGAAGGGGGCTCAGGAAAAGGAGCACCCGCCAGGCCCCGGCCGGGGTGGGGGGGTACAACTCACCAACCTTTGTATTTGTTTCAGCCAAAACAGCTTCCAGATAAGTGGCAACATGATCTGTTCGACAGCGGCTTTGGAGGCGGGGCTGGCGTCGAGACCGGTGGGAAATTGCTGGTCTCCAATCTGGATTTTGGGGTCTCAGATGCGGATATTCAGGTAAGGAGTTTGGAGACTTCGCCTAAGCGACCCTTGTCGGGAGCCAAGTGCACAGCCTGGATTATGTTGTTTGGGCTTCGACCCTCTAGCTCCGCCTACCACCCCCTCCTTGCTTCAGGGAAGGTGGGCTCGAACACCCTCATCTTTCTGTAGGAAAGGCTGTGCCCATCAGTTGATGTTTTTGCAGTGGTTTAAAGTTCAGGGTACAGTGAGGAGTATGGGATTGGCCTGTGCTGGGCTATGGGGAACTTGTTGAGTTTGTATCTTTTGCTTCCAAGGTAGGCAGGCTTCTTAACTTTTGTTCAAACCTTGCTCCTGGAGGCAAAAATGATTGAGTTGAGCCTGGACAGTTTTTTAGGTAATTTATTTTTGTGCTGGAAACGCTGGCTTTGTTGAGAGAGGAGGTATAATTTCTCTCAGGCGGAAAGAGCAAAGAGGCAGTATTGTTTTGTTTGTTGCAGCCTTGTAACCTTGATTGGCTCTTAGTCAAAATATGTCCAGTGTTAATTCTTCTGTTACGGGTGTGTTCTTCTGCAAAGCACCTGTTTTGGGATTGTCAAAAAACAGTAATCTTTAAAAAACAACCAAACCGAAAAAAAACCCTCTTTTTTGTTAAGAAACTCCTTTCCTGGAGTAAAACTTTGGAGATTGGAAAATGGCTGGGACAGAATGCTAGGCTTTCCTGGGTCATACTTCCTAGAGCCCAGCCATATGGCTTTGCTGTGGGAGGACAGAGCAAGGCAGACAAGCACTCATGGTGTGTCAACACTTTTTTTAAGGTGGTTTCTGGCATCCACTGGAAACCGCTTTTGGTGAACTCCACTTCCCGCTGTGTGCCTGCGGCCGGAGTATCCCCACACTCTGGGTTCCCTCTCCAACTCCCAGCCTGCCGTGAGGTCAGGGCAGTTTCCATGGCAGCGCTTGACGTCAGACTTTGCGGCAGGCTTGAGTAGGAGGAGAGGGAAACGCAGGTGAGCCAGAATCTGCCTTCTGGGGGTGGGTCTGGGATCAGGATTACTGAATCTATGGGCCCTTAAATCTGTTCTAGTGGCCTGAAAAGCTTCCCTTGCTCTGTGACCTGGAGATTGTCCTCATTTCTCAGAACACTCTTTTGTTAAGAGTGGTTTTTCTTATCTGTGAAAAGACAGCCGATGAATATTGCACCCCTCACCACTGGGCAAAGCACTCTATGGCCCATAGCATCATACAGATGGCATGCCCCAAAGTTGGCGTGACCCGGGACAGGCCCAGCTGCTTTTGGAAGTTGCTGTTCTGCTCTCCCTATCCTCTTCCCCCTAGATGTGTGTTCCCTTCCAGGAACATAACTCCTAATATAAATATTTCTAGGGTCCTCTTCCTTGGACATCATGGGAGAGAGCTTTCTTAATCATTTTGCCTTTCTTTCCTATTTTTAGGAACTATTTGCTGAATTTGGAACTCTGAAAAAGGCAGCTGTACATTACGATCGGTCTGGCCGGAGCTTAGGAACAGCAGATGTTCACTTTGAGCGAAAAGCAGATGCTCTGAAGGCCATGAAACAGTATAATGGTGTCCCTTTGGATGGTAAGTTGAGCCTTCCATCAATGAAGGGCTGGGTGCTACGTTTTGTGGAGTGTGGGGCTGTCATCTGCCCATGTAGGAATATGATTTGCCCACTCTGGCCGAGCACACTTTGCATTTGCCCGCTTTGTCTCTCTCTTCCGTTCTGCCACCTTTCGTGCTGCCCCATACATCTGGACCAACCTCTTGTGACCCCCTTCTTCAGATCCTTCCTGAAGATTCACTTCTGTGAGGCCTTCCCAGAACCACCATAGTACACCTCAAAGAGCGGGGCTATAATGATAAAGAAAAAGGTACTGGATCTTTTTTCCACTAGGTCAGCCAGGCGTATTTCCCTCTTCCAACCCATATCCACCAAAGAAAAAGTTACTGAATATTTGCCCAGTTTTAACTTTGTCAAAGAGGAGGTTGGTGGTTTCTCTGTTGCCGTTTGTCTTTCTCAAATGTTTTCCAGTCTTTTCCCATGTTTGTATGTAGAATGAGACAACAAGGTACCCATCCAGTATTATTTGCATGGAGCCTAGAACATTGCTAGTACCATATAATTGTTCTATAGAAAAGTGATTGATGTTTCTTTCCTCTTCCTTTCCTGCAGGTCGCCCCATGAATATTCAGCTTGTTACATCACAGATTGATACACAACGAAGACCTGCACAGAGGTTAGTTTTTGGCTTCCTGGAATTTGTCAGGGCTATATAATCTTCTTGGAAGCCTTTTTAGGCATGTGTAAGTGAACACTATTCCTTTTAATTTTGTATTTAGTGTAAATAGAGGTGGAATGACTAGAAACCGTGGCTCTGGAGGTTTTGGTGGTGGAGGTGGCACCCGGAGAGGCAGTCGTGGAGGCAATCGAGGACGAGGCAGAGGGACTGGAAGAAATTCGAAACAACAGCTTTCCGCAGAAGAACTAGATGCACAATTGGATGCTTATAATGCCAGGGTAAGTACAGGGGTGGAAATGTGGGGTGGTGAGTGGCTCCAGAACTGTGTTGAGAAAGAATAGCCTCTTTCCAGCAACCTGTGTCTCTTAGGGACAGAGCAAGTCAGATTGTTGAGGTGAGGCATTCTCAGTCTTATCTGAGATACCTTTTGCTGTGTGTTAAGATACTTTCTCACAGTGCTTGTCTATTTTTTTTCTTTCAGATGGATACCAGTTAAAGTAGCCAACATATTCCCTGCATGGAACAGGACCCAGGAATCTCATTCTTTACCCTTTTCGATGGAGGGCGGAGTAGAGGACTGTGGCTCTGCTGTCAATGATGGATTTGTTTCTTTTATGTTTCGAAATAGGATTTAAAACTCATGTAAAGGTTTTTTTTTTAATTCTGAAACAGACCTGTTTTGTACCAAGTTATTTTTGGGATAAATTTTACTGGTTGCAGTTGTGGAGAAGGTGGCGTTTTCACCTTTGCCATAATAAAATAGAAATGTGTGTAGAAGTGGAACTGTTTGCTTCATCCCACTGCTAGTGGGCTGTGTACGTGGCGCAGAACTTTCATGTCCGAGTTGGTACGTTACTAAGTAGACGGGATGAATAGCCCCCATTGGGATTGCTATTTGGTCTTAACATACCATACCATTCAAAAAACTGAATCACATTTTGAGAACCCTTTTCCTGGCCCACATGTGCACAGTAGGGTCTCATGTTTTTAGAGGTGAGATTCAAAAGAGTAGATTGGTTATGAGAAATGAATGTAAATTTATTCATCATGAGACAGTGTTAAATAAACTTTTACATAGGAGATGAAAGAGGTTACTCATCAACATTTGGAACTGTGAAAGGTTTCTGAAATTTGATTTTTCTTCATGAATCAAATCCTAGAATTCACTTTTTGAAAAAATCTTGCCACAATACTGGTTTTCCTTGTGGTCTCTTTATGCTTTCTGTGACAAGGAATTAGGGGATAGTTAACTAGTTTCTTGGGCACAGAGCATAATACCTCCATATCTGGAAAGCTGGTAGTCTACAGTAGACAGGATGGCCTGTGACCAACTGGGGTAGTGACAAGCTAATGTTTGCTTATTCTGCTTTGACGTGGATTATTTCTGATCCCAGGCTAGAACTGCCTAGTTCCGTGACAATGCTGTACCAGTGTGCCCTGTATTTCTATTGCGAAATTAGTAGGTAAATTAGTAGCCCATTTCTCAGATTACCTGCCTCTTCCCTTTCCTAATATTTTAAAAGTAAACTCAAGGTGCTCCCTGGCACCCCTGTTCAGAGGGAGTGTTTTTTTGTGCACTAGTAATATAACTGAATCTTAAATTGTTTCACTCTTGTGCTTTGTGGTTGACTGGAATATTCAAGAGAGAAAAAAATATTCCTTGCTTACTCAGGAATTACTTATAAAATGTGTAGAATTTCTCAGAGTGAGCTGGGCTGGTAAACCCCAGCTCACCAATGTTGTGAATTGGGTTAAGAATTTAAGGATGTCAAGCTACTTTTACAGGGACTCCATGTATACCAGAGGCCTTTCCCTCAGCAGAACTGTACCAGTGTCCTATGGGTAAGAAGCAGATGGAAAGTCCATCTGGCCAAAGGATAGGAGTGCCCAAAAAGTGTCAGTGGCATGACTCAAGCTGCCATGCGTCATGCTTAAAGTAGGAAACTTGGCTAAATGGGTGGCCCTTTTAAAGTTAGATACACATCTCATTGTCATGAGGTCTGTGGCCTTCCATTAGTAGCTTTTCTTTCTTCCCATGGGAACTGATACAGAATGTGGAAGTTATTTGACTACTAAACAACTCAAAATAGAGGTTCTTTGAGTCCCTGAACCTCTACTTTCAAGATCTTGGATAACAGTGGGCTAGTAGCTAATTGTTAGGAATCCAAAGAGAGAGGCTGAGGCTAAGCTACCACCAACCCTAGCCCTGTTGTCTCATGGCCTATGGCTAGGATTGATCCCTGAGTGATAAGGAATATAATGGAGATAAATATAGTCTTAAGACTTGGGTTAAAAAAAAAATTGATTTCACAAGCAAAAGGTGAAGGCATGTATAGACTGATTTGGAAAAAAATTTTTTAGTGAATTGCACACTATCTCAGCCAAAAAAATCTTCTTATCCTGGGCTATGGTAAGAGAGGCATAGATTCCAGAAAAAAGGTTATAGTTGCTTTTCACTCAACATTGGTCAGACTTTGTTCAGTGTATTGTGTTAAGTGCTGGGTGCCACAGTTTAGGAAAAATGTTGAAAAGCTAGGAGACATATGGAAAGGGCAAATGGATTAATGAAGGTACCTGAGTCCAGGCCAAATGAGGATAAGCTGAAGGTACTAGAGATATTTTGCTGGAAGAGAATTGGGCAACCTGAGAGCTGTCTTAAAGTACTTTAAATGTCATCCTGTAAAGAGGTGTTAAGATTCATTCTGATTGTTCCCAGAGGGCAGAACTCCAGAACCAGTAAGTAGGAATTCTGAAGTGGCAAAATTTAGGCAGAACGGAAGGGAAAACTTCCCAGCCATTGGAGTTTTTAAAAAATGGAATGGACTTCACCCTTATTAGAGCTACTCAAACATAGCCTGGTTTCAGTTCTATAGTGAGGATTATTTTTTTGCTATACATTTAACAAGACAGGCACTGAGTTCTTTTCCTCATGACAACCTGAGAGGTAGACAAAGCAAATATCATTAACCATTTTGCAGTTGGGAGTCAAAGGCTTAGACAGGTTCAGTGTCTTGGCCTGAAGTCTCACAGCTGTTAGTGATGGATAGAGTTGGAACTGGACCCCAGGTCCTCTGACTGAGAGTCTGCTGTTGTTTTCACTCTGTTCATTACTTCTATAAGATAAAGTGTTTCCTTCTCCAAGTGATTTGCCTGTGGAGTTACTAGGAAAATGGGAATTATAAAAATTGATGGATTGGCTGTTGCCTCAGATATAGTCATAAGAGAGTTTACCTTAGAAAACAAGTAAACCAAGAAAAACCTTTCTCTACATTTATTGTGTGTTTGTAGGCAGAATGATTAATAGAATGAGAGCAGCACAGATAGAATATTTAAACACTTGGAAGCATTATGTCACAATGAATATCTTTTTGAGAACGCTATTCTTGGCCCAGTGGTGCATAGTATGGGGTCTCTATGTATTTAGAGGAAAGGATCAAAAGGTAGATCAGTTAATGAAAGATTGTTGTAAATTTATTCAATATGTGATCAGAGGCAGGCCAAGGAGGGGGTTCTATTTCCTAAATATATTTAAAGAAATACTCAAAGGGGCAGCTAGGTGGCACAGTGGATAGAGCACTGACCCTGAAGTCAGGAGGACGGGAGTTCAAATCCGGCCTCAGATCAAACACTTGACAAGTACTAGCTGTGTGACCCTGGGCAAGTCACTTAACCCCAATTGCCTTACTAAAAAAAAGAAAAGAAATAGTCAAATAGTATACAGCTATTTAATAGAGAAAATGAAACAGCTGAATGACTGAGTACCCACTGGCTTCAGAAGTTTTATAGAAATTATCACAGGAAATAGAGGATCGAAAAAGATTTCTTGGGGCTAGGGTAGTAAACAAGTACAGGGCACTTCTTATGTTTTCGTTGCCCATTTCTTGATTCATTTCATTCTTAACCATTTATATTATCAGTCACTTGCTATGTGCAATATACAAATTAAGTGTTCAGTAATGTTGGTTGTCATTTATCCATCCTGCACAAAATTCTTCTAGCTTAATTTTATTTTGAATTTTTTAATCTTACATTTATTGACTTAAATATAAAAAGGTTATATATCACTGTCATTTCCAGGTATATTATTCAGCTTTCCTACCCAGTGAACGAAAATTGTAACAAAGATATTAAAAGACAGAAGAAAAAAGTTCAGTAAAATCAATAAACAAAATCATAGTATAAGCAACACTCCATATCCATAGTTCCCTACCTCTACAAAGAATGAAGAGAGGTAGGTGCAGTTCTGGTCATCAGAATTAGTGTTGTTTCAACTTTTTACTCTTTCCATATCAAATGAGAAAATATTTGTAAAAGCACTTAGCACCAATGCCTGGCACATAGTAAGCACTATATAAATGCTTATTCCCTTTCCATTTACATTGTACTCATTGTGTTATGTTGTATTCCTGGTTCTGCTTACTTCACCTTGCATCAACTCAAATCTTCCTATGCTTCTCTGAATTCACATTTGTAGTTTCTTATACTGCAATGCTATTCTATTACATTCATCAACTACACTTCGTTTAGCCATTTAATCAATAGGTACCTACCTTGCTTCAGTTTTTTTGTTATCACAAAAAGTAGTACTCTGAATATTATATATGTGTGTGTGTGTGTCTGTGTGTGTGTTTGTGTGTGAACTTTCTGTTTTTGACTTGCTTAGGATATATGCTTAATAAAAGGTATGGGCATTTTAGTTACTTTTCTTGAACAATTCCAAATTGCTTTCCTGAATGGTTGAACTAATTCACAGCTTTACCAACAGTGTATTAATGTTTCTGGCTTTCTCCAGCCCTTGAGATATCAACTGTTTCCATCTTTTATCATCTTTTTCGCCAATTTACTGGTATGAGGTAAAAACTCAAGTTGTTATGAGTTAGATTTTTCTTACTTTTAGTGATTTGGAGTGTTGTTTTATATGTTTGCTAATAGTTAACAATTCTTTGAGAACTTTTTGTTTATATTTGACCACTTATCCATTAAGGAATGATTTTTGGTCATCTTTATGTTAATTTACTAAATATCTTACATTTCAGACCCTTATCAGATAATTTTATGCGCATCTTTTTTTCATCTGATCAGCCCTTTTCTTTATGCTGGTTGCATTGATTTTGTTTGTAGAAGCTTGTTTGATTTTATGTAATTAACATTTTAAATCTTTCGTGATTGCCTTTTATGACATCATTAGGTTAAGAATTTTCCCACTATCCATACCTGCAAAAGGTACCTGATCTGGTTCTCTTCTAATTATTTTATAGCAACCTTTTATATTCAGGTCATCTATCTTAAGATTATTGTGGTATATGATACAAGATATTGGTCTAAACTTCATTTCTGACTTTTCTAGCTTTCCCAGTATTTCTTGTTGAATAGGGTGGTGTCCTGCAGGTAGTTTATGTCTTGGGATTTTTTGAACACTGGGTTATTGAGTTTGATTGTTTCTGATTGTCCCTCCTGTGGTCTGTTCCACTGATCTACTGTTGTGTTTTTTACCAGTACAAAATAGTTTTGATGGTTACTGTTTTATAATATAATTTGAGGCTTGGAAGTATTCTCTATTCCACTTCAATTTTAAAGGTGGATCCCCTCCTTTAGTTAGAGGGGTGGTTGATTATGGTTGTGGAATTTTGTTATCCTACTTGATCAGTGTTTAGGTGGTTTTACCTGTTTTTGTTTTGTTTTGTTACAAGAGAAGGCTCACAGGCTAGGGGATCAGGGACAGAGGCCCCATAGGGTTGGACCTTAGATATCATCTGGTTCATCCCCAAGGTCACACA